AGGACACTTATGTATGTATAAGATCTGAGGACGTGTAGTTTTATTCATGTTTTCACATGGATGGATGGCATTTTACAGGATATTGCTATAATATTTCACATATTGTAATTCTACACATTAATATCTGATTTCTAAAACATCACAGACAGAAAGGTATATCCGTAATTTAACGGTAAGCTATTGAAATTCTGATTCCATAGATGTGTCTCCCATCACCCAAAACCCCTGACTATTCTCTCAACTCAGTATTTACATTCTTTAATTCAAAGAAAATCAGTAATATCTTTAAAAACTACAAGTCCCTTTCTATCAGCTGTGCACCGTTATGGGGTAAATATAGCCTATCTACCAATTGGATCAAATATAAAAGTCAGCCAAATGAATGTTGATACTGCAAGGGGACGTATTGTGTGAAGAGAAATTGAAGATGTTGTTTAATTGCTGATATATTTATGATCCACATCACATATTCAGTTTCGGCGGCATTTCTTCCAGTTTGTCCAAAGGTCTTCTAATCAGGGCTCTATAAATAAAGAACTACGGCAGATGTGTAATATTTAATGAAGCCGAACCGTGTATTACAATGCCGTTATGTGATGACTTCCAAAGAGAAAAGCAAGCACTAAAACATCCAATCACCGAGCTTCAACGATAGCTGAGGAATATGGGTAGGCCACTAGATCTCACTATGCAATTTTTTTTTTTTAAACTGAGCATTTTGGTTCCCTTGCATCATTTTAAAGCTCGGATAGATGAAATGTTATTAGATATCTGTCATTGTGAATAGGTTGCTAATGTATACCCCTGTAATTATGTTGTATTGATGTCCTTTTTGTTTTCTGTTGTTTTTATGTGTAACTAATGTGCTGCAGGTCTCCCTTAAAAAAGAGATCGTTGATCTCAATGGGATTTTCACCTGGTTAAATAAAGGCTACAAACAAATACAGACAAATGCTAACAAATTGACCTCACCTCATGGACATTCAATCCCGGACTATTCCCCATTTGTTACGCCCCACCTTTAAAATGGCCCTATCGGGCTTACAAAAACCTCTGAAAAAATAAATGTGTCTCTCAGAATCGAAAGGGAAAAGCCTATGGGAAAAACACAAAAGCAGTGTACACAATGTATACCAATTAATGTTGTGTAATTAAGGATAAACTGATGTTTTTAGTGGATGAGTACTGCAGATACCACTTTAAAATCATTTGACAGTGAGGGGAATACGGTTTTATTATGAAAACTCACCCCGTGAGGGTTGACGCTAACTTTACATGGTCGCTGCCGTTACACGTTTAGTTCTCCCGGCGAGACCTCAAATCATCTTCGTAATATCTGGATTCTAAAAGTACAATATATACGTCCCGCTAGAAATCTAATCAAAAATAATTTTAATGGCCAAACTATCCTACAATTTAGGATTTTCCAGAGAGGGTTATTTGTGAATATACGACCCTCCGGAGCGTTTGCAGTCAACGGCAGCACTAGAGGTCGAACACTTTAAAACGTGATTATAGGTCATAATAAGCGCTTGTACAATCGACCTATTTGGTCGTAATAAGGGCTTGAACAATCAACCTATTTGGTCGTATGAGTTGGAGGACTTGTTGATTCTGATCTGTCCATTATCGTTTTGTCTACTCCTTCCGCTATTTCCCTTTTCTACCGTTTGTCTTACATGAGTGATGATTCTGTTTTTCACCACACTGTCGTGTCTAATTTTTCCGGATGCTTTCAGGAAGATGGCTTTAGGAGCCCCACATGTAAAACATAAATAGTTTTGGTTATACTCTCAAATGTATACAACCTGTTACCACTTCAGGGACAGAGATTTTATATTGTTTAAGTGCTAGCGTTGGTGTCTCTGGGGTGTATGGTTTGGTTTTTAAATGGAACAATTTAAATGGGTTTAGTCTTAATGTGTATTAATGATATTATTCTTTACCCTGTGGTTTCTTCTCCTTGCGTTGTTCAATTAAGAATGTAGAAATTGAATATAATTCAATTGAAATTAAGTGAACATGAGTTACTTTAGTACTGTAGTTAACCTTAACCATCCGTGCAAAACATTGATTGGTTAATAGACTCAATCAGAACATTGTTTCAGAATGCTGTAAAACATCACAACATGAGGTAAAGTAGGTGACATTTAGAAAACTTTAAATCTTTAAAGAAATGTATTTACTAAAACTTGGTACCACAGATGCAAACATAATTACAATTCCCCATATAAGATGGTAAAATATAACGTGAAACACATTCAATGGACTTCAATATCAGGCAAGAACAATACAATATGCATTGTTAAATATCCTTGTGCTCAGGTTTTGGAAAATTCCGTAACATGTGAGTCAATCTCTTCTTAATAATATTTGTGTAATTAACTGTAAAAAGAAATACTGTATACACTATATTACTTTCGTTTTAACTTCCTATCATTACAAACGTGAGACATTTACCGTGAAAATAGAGATAGGCTAAATTAATACTTTTAGATTCTGAAACCAAACCTTGAAGTTAGGGTTTTATTTTAATAAAGTGTTTATTCAGAACTACACAACTACTCTGCTTGTGTGGTTACTGCACTCTATATGATCAAAGTTAGATTCAGCTATGTAGCTGGCTAAATAGGCTTGTGATTAGCTAATATATTTTACAAATAAGTTAGCTAGCCACACGTTCAATGTATGTTACCAACTGATGGTAAGTCAGAGAATTAAGCTTTGTATTTCCTTTTGCACTTTGAGATACCTTATTGGGTTTGGTTTGTTCATTTGTCTTCATGATGAATGTAAAAATTCTGTCCCGATTTTCATGAAACTTGGTAGAAGTGTGTCTATACATGGTCCGTTGCATATCGATTGTTATCTCAATCCCTGGGCAGATGCACAACTTAATTACTACTTTCAATAACATTGCATTCTCTAAATGCCCTTCTAGTTAACCAATAATATTGTTTATTGATGTATTCAGATATATTTTCGCTGGTTTACCTTTTCCTCTGTTTTGTTGGTTTTGGGCACTGTTACGGTTGCTGTTTCTGTCTGCTCATTAATCTGCCTGTGAGTGTTTTCGGCTGTGTGTGTAATATGTAAATAAGCTGCGCAGTAGCCCTGACGCCATTGGCTGCCCATCCTCTGGTCCGCCTCCGAAGATCGTGATTGGAGCACACCGGACCCGACGTCTTCCAGTCGCAGCGCACCGCCAGCGCACGCCTGCTGCAGATGATTATAAAGCCCGGGAACAACTACCACTCTGGAGGCTCTGTTGAGTGACAGACGCCTCTCGCATTTTGCTCTTCATTCTGTGATTAATCTTGTGTGTCTATCTCCGTGTGATACGGTGTTTTAGTAGAGTGTAGAGTAGGTTAGTTAGTGTTTAGAGTATAGTTAGGATTTGTGACTGTTGCCTTTAGTTTAGCTGTGTTTTGTGTAGACTCCCTTTGTTAGTTGTACCACTCTTTAAGTGAGGTTTTGTTTCGTTCTTTAGTTAGTGTACTAGTATTTATTTTCCCCACATATAACTAGACTCCTGTGTTAGAGTCCTCCCTTTGTTTGTTTCAGGCTGCCTGCCTGCCTTTTGTTTACATTGCTGTCTAAAATAAACCCCTTATAATAATTACCAATAGAGAACCGCAGTGACGCATCCTAAAACCCGGATGTAAACTCCTTCCGGTTCCTTCGTCAAAAACGCAATGCAATTTCTCCATAGGATTTTGGAAAATAGCTCGAAATAAGGTCTGTGGTTGACACACATTTACAGTAAGAGACGGATCACGTTTTGTTCAGCCGGATAATATCCACATGTCTATCCTACTTTTATAATTTTTGAATCATAAATCTAGTCGCCAGAAGCAAAATGCTAACGTTATGCTATAAACGAACTACAAAAAAGTACAGCAGCAGGGTCGCAAGACTTCAACGTCACGCCAACTTTAGATCGTTTCAACTGACTTTCGCACGCTAGCATATTTTAACAAAGCTTTTCATTTGAGCCACACTGAATTTCACTAGAAGTCATGGCTGTGTCAATTATCAGTCTGATATCATTTTACAAAGATGACAAGAAGAGTGTAGATAGAGGAGAGAACCACTACAAGTCAGGACACATACAGCAGTGCAGCCTAGATGAAGGTGTGCTTAATGAAAGCTTTAGCGCAAGTTCAATAAGGAAGACCTAACTCGAGTCACTCACACGTCACTCTATGGCTCCCTTCCCCCCTCATTAAATATGAGGGCGTCACGCCTCAGCAGCCAATCGCTGCACATGCTAAATGCCTTAAATACCTGCTCTTCCTCCCTGTCAGTTGTCATTGCAGATGATCACACGCAGTAGCAGTACTTCTTTACTCTTTCTCGTGAGAAAAAAAAAACCCAAAACAAAACCTAGCTCAAGATGTCCAACTCGGACAATTCAGACGAACCTGGTATGGAAATCTTTGATCCCGGTTCGACTCTCCACAGCGGCCTATCACCAGAGGCAGACTTCCTCATCGCCCGACTCCGGCAGCAGGGCATCCCCACAGCCCCAGGCCTCACTCTCTCGCAACTTCGAGAGCTCTCGGATCAGGTCTCCAGCTCAGCTCCCCAGCCCGAGGCAGCAGCCCCAAGCAGCTCCCCAGAGAGACCAGGGCGAGGACGCGGCCGCAGCCGCGGAGGAAAAAAACGCAGGAAATCGAGCCCTCCAGGACCCCGTCCGCCTCCCAAATCCACCCCTTCTCAGGCTCACCAGGCCGGGAGCGGGGAAAGTAGCGTGGTCGGCGCCCTGCAATCCCTCAATAGCTCCATAAGAGCCATCGATGCTCGCCTCCAGGCCCTGGAAGACTCCGGCACAGGAGCGTCAACTTCCGCCGCATTCAGAGCAGCGCTCGCTGCCTCAGTCCCGCTGGGGTTGCCAGGTCAGGGTTTTCCACGCATCCCAGTGGCAGCTCCTCCTCACTCTCTGGCTTCAGCCCTCCCAGCCCCCCCTGCAGGTAGGCCTTTCATTTCTCAAGCCGCTAATATCTCCTCACGGCTTAGGTCGAAAATTCTTGAAGGGAAGGATGTTAACTTGCTTAGCCTTATCCTGCCCTCCCCAGAGTGCGATAAAGCCATCGCCACAGGAGGAGACATCACCGCCGTCTTTAAAACCGCAGACCCCAGGCTTATCAGAGATATCAGCATAGGGCAATTCATGGTAGCTTTCGGCATCTTCCGTGACGTCATCTGCTCTGTCTACCCTGAGAGAAGAGCAGAATTAGATACGTACATGGCCATCATCGGGGACATCAACCTTAGATACGGGAGATCCATCTTCTATCAGTACCATAAAAGCTTTTCTAGTAAAGCAGCGCTTCACCTAGCGCATAGCAATATCCGCCTCGACTGGTCAGTGATGGACATCGAGCTGCTCGTGATGGCTACCGGCGGGCAAACCGCTATTTCTTGCAACAGCTGCGGAGCACAAGGCCACATCGCTGTCCTCTGCCCCTCAGTGCCTTTCTCCGCGCCCAGAGCCTCCCACACGCAGTATACTGGATATGATAGAACAAACCGTCAGGTGCAAATGAGACACGAAGACAAAATCTGCGCTAGATTCAATGAAAATGTCTGTACTCAACCTTATTGTTCATTTCTCCATATCTGCAGTTCCTGCAGGGATGCACACCCGAAGTCCGTGTGCCCCAGGCGCAGCCAAAACCTCTCAGTAGCTCTGCGCCAGAAACCTCGTGGTGGAAAAACATTCTAAAACATCACCCCTCCACTCCCATTAACATCCCTCAGCTAGCAGCTGCGCTATCCAACCACCCAGATTCCGTTTTCGTGGACTATCTCCTGTCAGGGCTCTCCCAAGGCTTCAGGGTAGGGGTCCTCTCATCTCCCACAGTTACTTTCGTAGCAAAAAACCTACAGTCAGCCGCTAAAGAACCCAACATAGTTTCCCAGCTCATCGACAAAGAACTCCACAAAGGATACATAATCGGCCCCTTTAGCTCCTCCCCCTTCCCAGTGTTCCGTTCAAATCCCATAGGAATAGCCACACGCAAATACTCTGGAAAAAAAAGGCTGATTTTCGATCTGTCCGCTCCCCGTTCCGGCACATTTTGCAGCGTCAATAGTATCATCCCTCCAGAGCAGTTTTCCCTTCACTATGCCTCAGTGGACAATGCAATCAAATTGATTAAGTTCACAGGGCACGGAGCGTGGCTCTCCAAAGCGGACATTACCGATGCCTTCAAAATCATTCCCATTCATCCGTCTCAGTGGAACTTGTTCGGCATTAAGTGGGAGTCCAAATTCTATTTCGCCGTTCGCCTGACCTTCGGGTGCAGAAGCAGCCCCTGCATCTTCAACTCCTTCTCGGAAGCGCTCTGCTGGATCCTGCTGAACAACGTCAGAATCCCCTCCGTCCTTCACCTACTGGACGACTTCCTCCTCATAGACCCGCCACAGGACAGCTCAGGGACCTCACTGAGCAAACTGAAACACTGCTTTCAGGAGCTAGGCGTCCCCCTCTCCAATGAAAAAACGTTAGGTCCCAACACATGCTTAGAGTTCTTAGGCATCACCCTTGACTCCATAGACATGAAGGCGTCTCTCCCCTCCGACAAATTGCAGCGCATTCGGGACATCACCAAATCATACTGCGAGCAACAAATCATTACAAAACAACAGCTGCTCTCCCTTCTAGGACACCTCAACTTCGCCATGCGAGTCATCCCCCAGGGGCGCTCGTTCATCTCCCGCCTCCTGGACACAGCATCAGCGGTCGACAATCTCCATGACCGCGTCCTCTTAGACGAAGGCTGCCGCTCAGACCTACGTTTCTGGTCTTTCCTGCTCGCCCACTGGAACGGAGTCACTTTCTTCTATGACGACCTTGTGTGTTCCTCCGATTCAATGAGGTTCTTCAAGGATGCCGCCCCATCCGTGGGTTTTGGGGGCTTCTTTCAGGGCGAGTGGTTCGCAGGGTCTTGGCCCCCGTCATTCCCTAATCATGCCTCATCCTCCGCTCTGCACGAGATATTTCCGATCGCCGTTGCATGCCACGTATGGGGTCACCAGTGGTTCCGTAAACGCATCTCGGTGCTGTGCGATAACCAATCAGTGGTCGAAATCATCAATAAAGCGCGCTCCCAGTGTAGCGACATCATGCCATTCATGAGAAGCATCACGCGGTCCTCCATTATCCACAACTTCATCATCACAGCTCGTCACATTCCCGGTCACCTCAATGTCATCGCTGACTCCCTCTCTCGCTTTCATTTCCAGACATTCCGGAGCCTCTGCCCGGAAGCCAGCTCGCAACCAGTCGGAATCCCTCCACTTCATCTCCTCTCTCTGCACTAACCGAGAGTCCCCTAGCTCGGCACCTTGAGTCGGCCAGATTCTTCATGAGAAAGGGCTTAGCCGCTTCCACCCTCAGATCCTATGATTTCGCATGGAGAACGTTCGCTTTTTTCTGCCGCTCAGTAGATGTCCCCCTCAAACCTGTCCTCATCTCCACCGTGTGCGCCTTTATGGGCTACTGCACCACCGATCGACACCTCAAACCCCTGTATATCCGGAGCCTCCTAGCAGGAATTCAATTTAACGTTCGATGCTCTGATCCTAGCTTTCCCAGCCTACTCTCCAACCCTACCGTTAAACTCATCCTTAAAGGGCTGTACAAGACGTTTCCCCCCGCTGCAGACCCGAGGCTCCCCATCACGCTCCCTGTCCTGCGTCTCATGCTGTCCACACTCAGGAAAGGATTATTCTCCCCCTATCTCGACGCACTGCTCGATGCCGTATTCCTACTTGCCTTCTATGCGCTCCTCCGACCCGGCGAATTTACCACAGCTTCCCTCACGTTCGACCCCAGCCAAGACGTCTGCCTCTCCGACCTAGTCTTCAACACCAACCACTTTAGTCTCAGCCTCAAACACTCAAAATGCGGAGGAGCCTGCTCAGTCATCGCGGCTCGCATCAATTCCCCGTTCTGCCCTTTTAATTCCATGATCAAATTCCTGCGCTGCAGACCCCCCACCAATCCGTCCTCACCACTTTTTCTCATCAAAGGAAATGCCCCCCTAACGCTGCGACTGTTCACTTTCTACCTCAAGCAAGTCCTCACTAAGTCCGGCATATCACCTACATCCTACTCAGGACATTCCTTTAGGATAGGTGCAGCCACCTCGGCTGCTAATCAAGGTCTCTCCACCTCATCCCTTCAACAATTAGGACGGTGGTCCTCCTCCGCCTTCGCAACCTACATTCGCCCGGACATCAGCACCGTACTGGCTTCCCAAAGATCTCTCGGACCCTAATTATGGTATTTATGCATATAACTGGTGGTGGCTCATAAACACATTCATAAGTATACATGTCTAACTAAGGTACCTGATATTCAAACTGCATTCCTGTCCTAGTCCGCGGGCCCCGCCCACAGGGAATAACTTCTCGTCTCACGCGCACCTCCACGTAACGGGCTCCATCTCCCGGACACAGGTATCCAAATCCCAGGCTCTCGCTCAAACGTGTCAGTGTAAAGATATATCCTATGAAGTCAGGCGTGGCGGAAGGCCACCGTACACCTCGGTGTCAGCTACAAAACAAAGGAAAGAGAAAGAAAATATATATATATATATATAGCCTGCGAAGTCAGGCGTGGCGGAAGGCCACCGTACACTTCGGTGTCAGTTACAAAACAAAGGAAAGAAAAAGATATATATATATATATAGCCTGCGAAGTCAGGCGTGGCGGAAGGCCCACCGTACACTTCGGTGTCGTAGCGGAAGGCTACCGTACACTTCGGTGTCAGTTACAAAACAAAGAGTAAAGAAAAAAGATACATATATATATATATATATAACCTGCGAAGTCAGGCGTGGCGGAAGGCCACCGTACACTTCGGTGTCAGCTACAAAACAAAGGAAAAAGAAATAAAGAAAAACATATATATATATATATATAGCCTGAGAAGTCAGGCGTGGCGGAAGGCCACCGTACACTTCGGTGTCGTAGCGGAAGGCTACCGTACACTTCGGTGTCAGTTACAAAAAAACAAAGGAAAGAGTAAAGAAAGATATATATATATATATATATAACCTGCGAAGTCAGGCGTGGCGGAAGGCCACCGTACACTTCGGTGTCAGTTACAAAACAAAGGAAAAGAATAAAGAGAAATACATATATATATATATATATAGCCTGCGAAGTCAGGCGTGGCGGAAGGCCACCGTACACTTCGGTGTCGTAGCGGAAGGCTACCGTACACTTCGGTGTCGTGGACGTTGGGCCACCGTTACAAAACGAAACCGCTCGCTCCTCGGCGTAGTCAAGCCCTGCTGGCCAGGCATGCGACCCGCAGGTCGTTTTCAGATAAGACCGGCACTGATTTCGGCAGTCTCAGCATGACCAGTAAGCTCCGGCAGTGATTCCGGCACAGTGTCGCTCATATACGTGTTAATCTATTATCTCTCCTCCCCAGATCACCAGTCACCCCACAAGGTAAGCAACTCAGTTCATCTCAGTATTCATACTTCACTGGTTTTGGGGATTTCATCGGAGCGGTGCTTTCCCTCCTGAATGATTATCCTGCAAACCGGGGGCCTAATCGCCAAACACCATTACATTCTCCTGTTGTACTATCATGGCAATCATTTCATTCATATGACGTGTAAACAATAAATATGTAATTCTTACATCACGTCTCTCCGGGTTGAACCGGTGTTGTCAGGGCTAGCATGAGAGACAAGGTTTATAGAGTGTCGGTGAGTAGTGATAGCAAGAGTACCGTTAACCTAGAGTTAATTTATTCACATTAGTGACATTAATTCCCATCAACAAATCCATTTTATGTGTCACATGAAATCTTTATTACAAATATTACACACCAGAAAACACAGAAATATCCATGAAATAAACATAAAGTAGGCTATAAACAATTAAAGGGATAATTGGGAAGGCATTACAAATGTAAATATATTTTAAATATTAAAACAATCCCACCACCACAGGTATCTACAGGAGAAGAGGGAATTCTCACCACAAAATGTGAATGCCCACGTGGAGAATGGAAATGCAGTCATGCGGCTGCATTAGCCATCTTTGCCATCCACAATTTCAGCTGTACTGACACCCCCTGTCAGTGGAAGAAGCCAAAGGCAGCTAAACATACACATTCAGTGGAGGAGCTATTTCCTCCAACTAATAACTCATTCAACCCGCTGACAAGAGAGCCCACCTCCGAAGATCGTGACTGGCTGAGGGACAGACTCGGGGGCAGGTTCTCAGGAATTTCTTGGCTTCTCTCCCCCGAGCCAGAAGAGGAACACTACAGCTTGGAAACACTTACTGTTGCTGAAATTATCAAAATCTGTTGGGCATCAAGGACGTGAGGCAATTGTGGCAAGCATGGCATTGTCTGAGGAGCAACAGAGGGCAATTCAGGTGGCTACCACTGGTCAACGAACCAACCCAAACTGGCATTTGTTCAGGAAAGGAAGGTTGACTGCCAGCAACTTTGGAGCTGTCCTGAGGTCAAAGCGTGTGACTGCTTCCCTTATTGCCAGGGTGCTAGGGCAACAACAGGCCCTTGATGGTGTTTTGTCTGTACAGTGGGGGACTATGAATGAATGTGAGGGCGTTAGGGCATTCACCACTGCAATCCAGATGCAGGTCCATGAGTCAGGTTTGTGGCTCTCCCAATCAGGAGTGTTGGGGGCATCTCCAGATGGTCTGGTAGGGTCTTCCGCTGTGCTGGAGGTAAAGTGTCC